ATGTAAGCTTGTAAGTTATCAAGCTTGGCTTTGTCGCCGCTGGTCGACTAGTGCGTGAGAGCCAGTACGTAACAAGACTCCGAGCTGAGAGCATTGATGTTATCGTACGGATATATTATAAACGTTACGAAACAATTAAAACTGATTTAAATAAAAATGAATATTAATAGATATTTGGGGAATTCCTTATTAAAATAAATAAAATTTAGAAATTAGATAAAAATATTAGTTTATTAATTGTCTAAACAAATTATTAGTCTCATCTTAGATAATCACTATTGGAATTAAACATTAAAAGTGAATGGTTATTTTGATGAAACAAAAGTAATTACAATTCTACAAGAAAAAAATATTGTTTAAAAAAAACCGTGTTTTAAAAACTGGAGTGAAAAATGATTCAGTGTCGAACATTATAGTCGTAATTGTTTTGATATGAAATTATAAGGTTTGTTTAATGTTTTAAAAAGTATATTAAAACGAATGTTTCTACACAACTTATATACAAAATGTATTTAAATCATGTAACTGCGTACTACATAATACATTACAGTTTGAACGACATAAAATACTTTTAGTATTTTTTAATAACAGAAGCATTAATTTGTGATTCATAATAATCTTAAATAATACTCGAAATAATACATAAAATTACACAAAGAAAAATTTTTAATACTATTTATTTGATAAAATCTTTACATTTTTCAAATGACAATTATTGCAGTGTCTGGAATTAACAGCCATATTATACAGTCTTTTTACTTATACCATAAATTTATTAAAACTGATTAACAATATCTTTGGCATCACGTATATAAATAAAATAAAATATAATAAAATAAAATAAATAAAAAATAAAGCAACATTACATTACTACTTTTTTTTCTTAAAACAATTCTTTGATTCTTATAAATATGTTTCTTGAAAGTGCCAAACCTATGTCAGTAATGACAGGCGCAGATGTTGTTAATTTGTACTTATTAATGTTTATATAACCGTGTGCAAAAGTGTTCATTAATGTTAAATATCCCCCACCCGTAAGTCCAAACCATTGACATGATACTCCGATATCTCTTTGGTTTCCTTTAATGTTTGCATAAGTACTAGAATACTCTTTTGTTTTTCGTGTTGTGCCGTTTAAATAACCAAATCCGAGAACAAGGCCTATAAGACATTTATTATTGTCAATCCGATTAAATACTGTCCAATCACCAATATTTATTTGCTCACATTCTTCAGCGAAATCCTTTGAAAGACTTACAGTATTTGCTTTATACGACTCATATTCAGATTGTCGAACTCTCTGTAATCTATCACTACTTAATTTTCCCGAGAATTGATTTAAAAGCCAACAGATAGACGATTTTCTTACTATAGTCTCTTTTCCAGAAGAATCTGTAACAACTGTAAACGGACTTTCTTCATCCAATTTATTTGTCAAATTTGTGTAATCTTTTAGTTTTAAATAGCCTTGTATTGCTGATAATACGGTCAAATCTGTCAAAAGATCCAAGTTAGAATCTGCTACTGAATCTGTTGTCAATGTTTCTTCATCTGCTCTTAAGTTTAAATCAAAATCCTCCTCAAATTCTATTCCTTCATCGTACAAATCATTATTTATGTCTGTGAAGTTGGCCCCCCTTTTTCAAAATTCGGAAATTTTTATTAGAGTTCTGGATTTCCCAGAAAGAGTTCTAGAGTTCTCTGTAGTTTTTAAAGAGAGTTCCATCATTTAAAGTGGTAAAAACACCATTTTAAAAAAGGGGGGGCTAACTTCACGGTGCCCCCCATTTTTGAAAAAATAAATTTTTTATGGTAGTTCCGGATAGATTTCGATGAGTTCTAGAGTTCCCTATAGGTTTTAAAAAGAGTTCCGTTCAAATAAACCCAAAAATCAATGTCAAAGTTAAACAAAAAATTTCCACTTTTTAAAAAAAATCAATTTTTTATGGTAGATTCAGAAAGATTTCGATGAGTACTAGAGTTCCCTATAGGTTTTATAACGCTCCGACCAATATTTCAAAAGTTACAGGCCCTCAAAGTACCGCAACTCGAAAATATTCTAAGTCCCGAGGGGTAATTTTTTTTCTAAAATCGGCAGTTTTCGCTGGAGTTCTGGTGGCCCCCCGAGGAGTTCTATCGAAAACTATT